AAAAAAAAAAAACCGTACGGCTCGCCGATTCACTGTTCGGACTCGCCGATTCCGTACAGTGAATCGGCGATTCGCTGTACAGAATCGTCCAGTTCTCTCTAGAACCGGACGATTTCCGATTTTTTAGGCGATTCGGTCCTCTTTTCACGATTTTCGAGTCGAACCGGGCGAGTCCGGTTCGACTCGGCGTTTTTTAAAACACAGGTTGAGACTGAAAAATAATAAAATCACTTTACACCCCTACCCGTTTTTTGAAGTAGACTAAGAATTAGCTTTTTGACACCCCTACCCGTTTTTTGAAGTCGACTAAGAATTAGCTTTTTGAAAGTATTAGTAGGGTAGTGTTAACAGTGGGAATAAAAACGACAATGCAGTAACTAAGATGTGGGATGCTACCACCACGACGTACGCCGTTTTTCCATGTCTCAAATATTTTCACATCCAATACATGACATAAGGTGTATTTGATGGGAATTTTGAAATTAAATCAAAACATAAAGTAAAATGTTAAATAGTTACTATCTTAAATATATTTTGACAAATTTCCCAAAAGATTATGCGGTTAATGACATATTAAAGGGTGTGTTTGACAACGGGAAAATCTAACCCTAGAAGGCGGAACTTCACAAGTGCTACAGTAGATCTTCATAAGTGGGAAGGGCTAAGCACTTGGAAGTACACACTTATGATAGGAAGTGTCCCATGCTCATTTTTCACTTTTGTTTTTTAAAAGTCAACGAGGTGACAATTTGAGGTTGAATTTCTTGCATTGGCGATCATCAACAAAAATAGAAAAAAAGGGAAAATTACAAATAAAAAAAAACCAAGACCATACTTTCTATACAACTTACCTCCAATGTAATTTTTTCTCTCATTTTTTTGCCAAAACATACTTTCTATGTAAATACTCCCCAAGAAAAAAAATTTATTTTTTAGATGCCCTTCCGTATACAAAAATCATTTTAGCATGATGTGACGTTGACTTTTGGACTCCAATAGCACATGGCCGGAGTGCTCCATCGCATTGCAAGACTGCCCTTTACATAAACTTTAAGTGTGGGACCGCTATAAAACAACTACCAAACCAAAACTAAGGACCGACCGCTTACATAGTGTTGGAGCCCTAGAATCTAGTAACGTCGGACCGCGAAACTGCTAGACACTGTCGGACCACTATTTGCAAGTGCTGGACCGCCCTTTACATAATGTTGTACTGCCAGACGCATTTATAAAGTGCCAAAACTATATTTTGGTAGGATAGAGGTGTAGGTAAAGTAAAAGTAAGGGAGGGTAGTTTAAGCATTTTTTTTATGTTTGGGTATTTGCGTAGAAAGTGTATTTTGAGAAAAAAAAAAAAAATGAGAAAAAAAATTAGGTTGGGTGTAAGTTGCATAGAAAATGTAGTCTTGGGTTTTTTTTGTTATAATTTTTCCTATAAAAAAACTACTTCAATGAAAATAACCAAAATCCCCTTAATATTAATATTAAGGGTATTCAGGTTATTTTTCTTTTTATTTATTTTTAATATATTGTTTTATGTGCTTGTAGTTGAGAATTGTCGATAATAAAAAAATTATAAGAAAATAAAATAAAAATATTTTGACATGGTCTCAAAACTAAAATACCATGTGTTCGAAAACTTTGAAGTTTACCAAATATAAAGTTTACCAAATAGAGGGGTGGCAACGGGTCGGATCCGGACCCAGACCCAAATAGTATTCGGGTCCAGGTTTTGGACCCATAGTCGGACCCGTCAGGTCCTAGGTCTGGTTGGGTCCATTGCCACCATATGTCTATGAACTTGTTATTTTCTTTTTCTTTTTATCTTTTTTTTATCATCATACATACCCATATTATTGGCAACATTTACAGTATTGCCCAACATTTATGAATACCCTCATTCTTTATTGTTTTATATTAAAATTACAAATTATTGAGAAACAATGGTATTGGTAACATTTATGAATACCCACATAACATATACCCAGCTGGACCCGGACCCAGCCTCAAATAGTATTTAAGATCAGGTTTTGGACCCAGAGCTGAGGTTGGGTCTACTTGTCGGGTATCGGGTCTGGCCAGGTCTATTGCTACCCCTAACCAAATATAGGATTTCATAGTTAAGAAAAAAAAAAAAACATATATGTGTATATATATGGACCCGGCTTCTATGCGGCCAAGCTCGCATACGTAAAAATGCAGGCCTCTTAATAAATTTATTTTTGAGATAGAATTTAAGACTTAATTTTTAAAGACAAGTAATTTCTAACATGGAGATCATGAATATGAAAAAATAAATGAATTTTAAAAAATAAAGATATTAATTTTAATAAAAAAACATTTTTATGAAATACCTACTTGCATTCATTTTTAAGATGGATGCTTTACACTTTTTGGACCGCTTATGTAGAAATGCAGTCCAGCACGCGTGAAACAACTTTTATATGTATAAGTGGAAATTGGGAGTCAAGTTCATGAATGTTAGGATCTTAATGTTTCCCAAAACCCGTGGCGTAGTTGCTCTCTCTAGATTTCGTTATTCCTGTACTTCACCCAGGACCTTGTCTGTCTCAAATAAAATTTGCAAATGCAAAGATATGTGCGTTAGAGAGAGAAAATGCATTTGAGAGATAAGAACAGCTCAAAATTAGAGAGCCCCAATAGCCCAGAGACATGTGTTTTAGAGAGAGAAGGATGGTGGATGATGCATGGACAGAGAAAAGGCTTTTAGAGAGAGAGAGAAACGAGTTTGTAGTCTCAACCTCATTTACGATTGACTTGGAATCTGGGAAAGATTCAGTAATTGAATGAAAGCCTGTGGGTGAAGAGAATCTTCGCCATGGTGACCAACCCACAGGGCTCTCTCTTGTTTCTCTCTCTTCACTCACCCACAGTCCCTCTCTTGTTTCTCTCTCTTCACTCACCCACAGTCCCTCTCTTGTTTCTCTCTCTTCTTAATCTCATCCTTTCCATTTCTAGCTGTGTGGGAATCTCGGACAACTTTCTCTCTCTTGTTTCTCTCTCTTCTTAATCTCATCCTTTCCATTTCTAGCTGTGTGGGAATCTCAGACAAGTGCTGCTCTATCTCTTTTGACTTAATTTATGTCCTTCTCTGGTACATGTTTGGGAATCCCAAGAATTAGGGACATAGAGCCTTTTCTCACTCTAGGACAAATCCTAAGAGCTTCTTCCTCCTTGAAATAATCCACAGTAGAGCTATAAAACACATGATGGGTTCTTTTGATTTTTCTGGGTCCTTGTAAAAGTCCTTTTCCATGGCTTTTTGAGGCCTGTTTTATGGATTTCTGCTGCAATAAAAGTGGGTTTTTTTGGGGGTGTTCTTGAGTGGTTTCTCAGTCTAGCAAATGGGTCTCTTTTATTTTAGAGCTCTAAGGGATTCTTGATGGGTTTTTTTTTAATTATTCTCTTGTGCAAGTGGGCCTTTTGATTGAGTTCTTTAGTGGGGTTTTTCTGGAGGATTACCCTGCAATTGGTTTTCCTGCCGAGATTTCTTTCCACTCAGTTTTTGATGGATTCTCTCTTTCTTTCTTTCTTGCCACTCAGTGTTTGATGGATTTTCTCTCTCTTCGTTCTCTCTAGTGAGAAGAGGAACTTGGCTTTCTGAAGAAGAAGACCCATCAATGCAAGAAGCTGTCAATCCTCAAGAGTCGCTCTTTGGTTCTCTATCCGAAGCCATGGATTTCGATTTCATCGATGAGGCTCTCGATGGTGGAAGCTGGCTCGATGCTGTGGACTGTTCGGATCTCTCTCAACCAGGTCCCTCTACTTCTTCCTCCCTCCTTGATCCCTCGTACTTTGTCTCTCCTGTTTATATCAATACCCAGAACCCTCAAAACACAGACCAAGATTATCAAGAACAAGCTGTGATTTTTGAAAACCCAATGGAAAACCCTTCTGAAAATCTTGAAACGCAATCTATGAATCATAATTCGATCTCGAAACTCGGCTTTCCTGATTCTCAATGGCCACCAAACTCCACCACCGGTTCGATTATGAAAAGATGGGTGAACCCAAATTTAGTTTCTCCAGTGAATGATAGGTTGATGCAGGCCATTCAAATCATAAAGGAGAGCACCAGCAATGGCGACGTTCTTGTTCAGATATGGGTTCCTGTGAAAAAGGGGGATAGCCATGTCTTGACCACTTGCGAACAACCCTTTATTCTTGATCCCCGTAGCCAAACTCTTACTAGATACAGGACTGTTTCCATGAACTACTTTTTCTCAGCGGGGGAGGGTTCAGGAGGAGTTCTAGGATTACCCGGGTAGGGTCTTCTCAGGGAAATTACCGGAGTGGACTCCAAATGTGCAGTATTACAGCAGCAATGAGTACCCTCGTGTCAATTATGCTCAGGAATTTGATGTTCGAGGCACGCTCGCTCTCCCTGTTTTTGAGAAGGGTAGTCGGGCTTGCCTTGGCGTTGTAGAGGTCATCATGACTGACCAGAAGATCAATTATGCGCCAGAGCTCGACAAGATTTGCAGAGCTCTTCAGGTATTACTGTGTTGCTCTCTTAATAACTTCCACTGCTTTGGACTATTAAACTGGATGAGTTGTCTAATTGCAAAAAAGAAAAGGAAAACAGCTGATTTGTGTCAGCCGGTATTTATTTCTTTGTAATTTCCTTTGTTTTGGACTGTTGAACTTGAAGAGTAGATTTCATGAGCGCAATGGAGTTAACATCATAATTGCAGAGTAGTTTTTGGCGTCTCTCTTATTACTATTGGTATGTAGTTGTAGACTGCAAAACCTAATGCGATAATGGGATTGTTTTAGTATTGAAGTTAATTCCATGGCTATTAGCATGTTGTAATTGAAAGAGAATGGCTAAATAGTGAACACCGAGCACTTTTCGAGCAGATAAATTGACTTCCACAACTCATTGCAAAGGAACAAACTAGGTTATCCATTATTAGCAATTATAGGCTTAAAGTACCTGAAAATTTTGTGAGGTCAAGGTATCCTAAGATCGAAAATGGTTTTCTCACCAATACAATGTCCCATTAATTTTTGGGTATGTTTCAAGAGAACTGGTCAAAATTATGACTGTTTAAAATCTCTGTATAAATATTAACAATTAGAAGCTGACATATATTAGTAAAGAGGTGAGATTCATTTTTCTGAATCAGTCTTGAATATGTTGCAGGCTGTTGATCTCAGGAGCTCCGAGGTTCTGACTCCCCCATATGTAAAGGTAGCACTCAACATGCCTGTCAACCTTGATCATATTAAGAACTTTTTCTTGGCTTTTGATGCACTAAATTTTCATGAGATGATTTGGGTCATATTGTTAGGTCCGAAACGATGGTTTCCAATCCGCATTTCCCGAGATCCTCGACGTTCTAAAAGCTGTATGTGAGACCCATAGATTACCATTAGCTCAGACTTGGGTTCCTTGCATTCAACATGGAAAGAAAGGAAGCAGGCACACTGATGAGAGCTACAAGGATTGTGTGTCCACAGCTGATGGTGCATGTTATGTTCGTGATTCTGAGATGACGGGTTTCCAAGAAGCATGCTCTGAACACCATTTATTTAAAGGCCAAGGAGTGGCCGGAAAAGCATTTGCCACTAACCAACCATGCTTCTCGCCAGATGTAACTTCCTTTAGTAAGATGGATTTCCCTCTTGTGCACTATGCTAGGGTCTTTGGTTTGGGAGCTGCAGTCGCCATTCGCTTGAAGAGCACATATACTGGAGCTGCTGACTATGTTATGGAGTTCTTTTTACCTGTAGATTGTCGAGACAATGAGGAGCAAAAGATGATGCTTAATTCATTGTCTGTTACCATACAACAAGTTTGCCGGAGTTTGCGGGTTGTCACAGATAAGGAGCTTGAGGATGAAATGATGACCCAGGTTAATGATGTGTTTTGTTCAGATAAGATGGCATCTAAATCTAGAAAAGCAGATGTAGAGAACCCATCTGGGGATTTGAACAAATCGAGCTCTGGGGTTGGAGCTTCTTGGAGAGAGAAAACCGGGGTGTTTTTGTCTTCCATGCCTTCGGGATTTCAAGAGGGGAGAGATATTATGGTTGCACAATCTTGTCATTGGGGTAGCCCTCGGGTCTCGTGTCATGAAGGGGGACGTTTTTTTAAAGTGGAGCAGCATCAAGATTCAGCGAACAATAGTGCGGATAGAGGCCAGTCTTTTGTTGGTGAGTTGGATTTTTCAAATGCTGGAAAGGGGCCTGAAAAGAGGAGGGCGAAAACAGAGAAGAATATCAGCTTGCAAGTTCTTAGACAGTATTTTGCTGGGAGCTTGAAAGATGCTGCGAAAAGCATTGGTGGTAAGTGTCTGCACCTGTCAATGACTTCAGAAAATCAAACAGCAAATTTTTGTGGTTTGCCCTCTTGGTACCATCATTTGGGCGATACATTCACATGCTAGTTACTGTAGTGAATGAGTAACTTTGCCCTTCAGATCTTTGGCATACGTATAACATGAACTTTCTCCCATAACTTCCTTTAACCCACAATTTTCTTCTCATATTTGAACTCCATGACTGTTGTCTTTCTTTGGCATTAGGAAATAATCATTAGATTGACTCAAATTATTTCGACAGAAGGTAGTCATGCATATTTTACTTGTTTGGATGGTAATTTGCTCTCTTTGATTATCTATATAAATCACCCTTTTCATGACCTTGGACCATGTGGAATGTTGCTATTTGATTGACCCTCTGGTCTTCTACATTAAAGCTTCCATTTATGTTTCTTAGGCTGGACTTTATTTTTTCTTTCCATGCACTGCATGTTAAAGAAATGTTCAGGTCTGGAGGAGGTTATATAGTATTTAAAATTTCTAAGTTTTTGTGGTGAAATTTCGGTCCTGAACATCTCAGTGCTTGTTTCGTGCGGGATTTTTTGTCCTTGTTTTCTTTGCTGGTTCCTCTTTCCTATCCAGAAACGTATTTTGTTGGATCTTCCTGTGGACGATGTGTGATGCAGTCAGTTCTGACTCGTGGATTTAAACTAGGATACTTCGATGCCAACTTTGCCCCCTAGTTTCCAAGTTCCAATAACTTAGCTGATTGTTCGGACTCTATACTACATGCCTTCAAATGCATTATATTGGTCAATTCACTTGCCATTCAGCCGTTTTATTGTCCATTTTCTTGGGTAGGTAAGTAACTAGGATTCAAACCTTTTGTTTGTTTTGGGTAAGTTAGTGGGGATTTGGGCCCCTACCCGTTTTTCATTAATAAGAAAAATGGTACAAAAGGATAAAGAGTTTATGGTACAGTTCTTTCATGAGAAGTCCTGGCCATATTAGAAGAAATTAGAGAAGAAATAAAATCGGGTGGCCGGGCATGCTAAACCGTGGCCTCAGAGAGACTTGTAGCATTCTTGGCCTAGTGATCGGCCACCGAGTTGGCCTCTCAGTAGACATGCTTAATACTCGAAGGGCGGCATCCAGGTGGTAAAGGCAGTTTTCTGTCATAATACGGAGATTCCAGGGGGGGACTTATGGCGGCCGTGAAGGGATTGCACTAGAATACTAGGATTCAAACCTTGATATTCTCCTGCAGCTTTCACTGCTCTAACCACCAGGATAAGACCATCAATCTCCATATCATTGTCCATTTACCTTTTTACTGTTGAGAAAGGTTAGTAGTCACGTGTACAACAATTTGGTAACACTTGGTACCTCAGTAGAACTTTGTCGTAAGCACCATGTAGGAGTAGTGCTCTCAGCAGTATTTCAAAAATTGGAATGGGGGCCAACATGGCAGGTTTTCGATTCCAATTCCTCCAGTCCGACTCAGGCAACTCATGTGTTGAATCAGGCTATACCCAAAAAAAAAAAAGAGCCTGGAGACTTGGGCAATTCCGGGGTTTTCTGTCCTGGAATCTCCAGCGCACAATCTGGTCCGACTTGGGGGATTTCTGAGTTAGACAGGCTATTTTTGAATCAGTTGTCGTAGTTATCATTAATGATATGTTTTGTCTTCAAAAGGTCGATGTCTGCAGTCTTACTTTTAGTTTCATTCATGAATAAAAAGAAAATACTTCCACATCATTCTAGAAGGTTGTAAAATCAATTTGAGGCTGGATTTTGCATTTCCGATACCCGTACACATATGTAACTTATGCAATTTACTAAGTTGATTCCAGCTATATTAGCTAACAGGGTGATGTTTTTTGTGCTGTGATGGTAACCTTTATCAGAATATTTGTTCTTCGGATCTGTGTACTATACATAGCATGGAAATAGAGTAGGGGTTTGTTATTGGATAGGAAAAAGGTGTATGACGGATAACACATATTGAAAATTTTGAAAAGCAAGGCCACAAGTCATGCTAATATAAAAGTGGCTTTGTTCTTAGTTCTTATAGACAAGTGAATGTAACTGTGTTCTTCTAGTTGTGCACCTAGATTGGGTGCACTAGTTATAGCTAGAAGGTTGCAAAATTAATCTGAGGCTGGATTCTGCATTTCCAATACCCATATGCAATACTTATTCAATTGACTAAGGTGATTCCCAGCTATATCAACTAAAAAGGTGGTGTTGTTTGTGTTGCAATGGTGATCTTTATCAGAATATTTGGTTTTAGGACCTGTGTACTTTACACACATGGGTATAGAGTACGGTTTTGTTTCTGTCTAGGAAAAGTTGTATGATGGATGACGCATGTTGACAATTCTGAAGAGCAAGGCCACAAGTCATTTAAGTATAAAAGTGGGCTTTGTTCTCGGTTCTTACAGACAGATGAATGTAATTGCACTCTTCTAGTTGTGGGCCTAGATTAAGTCCCTAATCATGTGCATATCTCTTATTGGTTTTACATTGGTGATATAAGTTTTTGGTTTCTTTCTTTTGTTTTTAAGGATATGGTTGGAAGTAGTAGGAAAAAAATATGGGGACTTATGGTCTCACTGATGGTATGGCTCTTGATAAAGCAAAATAGAAGATCAGGATTCATGTAGCTGACATCAAATAATTGGAAAAAGGCTTTTGATGATAATAATGTTTTCAATCGTTTTGGTGCATGAGTTTTCAAACCCGAAGAAGAGAAATGAAATGAATTGAAAATGCCATCCTATTCATATTGTGTGTTTGGAACCAAAATTGCTATGCCTTATTTTGATAGAAAGCATTGCTAGATTTGTTTGCTAGGGTAGTCAGCATTATTAAAGTGCAGCACTGATTAGGGATACATCTACAATAGACGCAAGAATGAAGTTCATTGACTAGAACTAGAGAGTGTCAATATTGTACTCATAATGAAGGTGTAACTCAAAATATATACAAAAATCCATAATACCCTACAAGTAAACAGGAGTGGAACTTCGCTCAATGTGAGTAGAAATTCAATGCATAGTATGAAAACATCCTCTGTGCAATGTGAATGTGCAATCTATCATCAAATATTCTTCGTACAAGATTATGATATATATATATATATATATTGAATCTGGGCCGATCCAATGGTCACAGTTGTATTTTATTATTGAATTTTAATTGTTTTCTACAAATCTAAATAACATGAAATTTGGAGCATGTATTCTTTAAAAATAGTGGAATCTAATAAAAATATCAAAAAAATAATTCGCATAAAATAAATTGATCAAAATACCCTTGAAACTTTTCAAGGGTATTTTGATCAATTTATTTAATGCGAAATATATTTTTAATATTTTTATTAGGTGCGCCTTGATGAGAA